TTTTTTTTTGTACCAGAGATTGAACTCAGGTCCTTGTGCTTGTGAGGCAGGCACTAGAACCACTGAGCTAAATCCCCAGTCTTAGGCTATATTTTGATTAAAGGTTCAAGGTGGACGGGCCAGGGATTTAGCTCAGTAGTGCCATGCCTACCTTGCAAGCACAGGATCCTCAGTTTATTCCCCAGTACTGAGGTGGGGGAAAAAGAAAGATTTGACGTGGGACCCTAAAATTGTAGCCAAGATTGAAATCCACTGGCCTGGCTGATCTCTAATATTTTTTTCGGGGTTTCTGCCTTTATTTTTTGACACCTTAGGCCCCTCAAATAGCATTCTTCTGGGAGGGCAGCAGATTGTTCGTTGTGGTTAGTAGAAGCCATGGGAAACATAATGTGTGGCTGTAGAGCTAGGTGTGAGGGAGACTAAATCTCCTGCCTTGTGAGCCAGATCCTACAGGCAATGGGGAAGTCCTATCACCCAGGCTGCTTCCGGTGCATCGTTTGCAACAAGTGTCTGGATGGCGTCCCCTTCACCGTGGACTTCTCCAACCAGGTGTACTGTGTCACTGACTACCACAAGTGAGTCTGGCCCTGGGGTGCAGTGTGGAGGTGGTTTCTGAGATTCCCAGACCTCAGCTCATTGCTACCTTCTCTCTTTCAGAAACTACGCCCCAAAGTGTGCAGCCTGTGGCCAGCCCATCCTCCCCTCAGAGGTCAGTACGTCTGGGTTCTTTTGCTGGGCAGCCAGTGTCGCGCCTCTGGGGAGGGGTGGAGCCTTGTGGCCTGGCCTCCCTCGGGAAGTGACGGTGCTGAGGAATGTACTCTTGGAAGATTCCCGTGTGACTCTGCTCTTGGGGTCACAGTGGTGACCCCAACATCCGGGCCTAGATGTGTCTGATAGCCTTGCTAGGCCCAGCCTCCATATCTTCGATTCCAGTAAGGGCTGGAAAATGTGGAAGAACCCTCAAGGGTGACAGGATAGGTCATGTGTGTAGAAAGTGAGCTGGGGAGAAAAGCCAAAGGCCAGTGAGGAACTGGACCCTACTGGAGCTCCTTGTCCCCAGCCTAGTCTGCTTTGTTTACCTCCCTGTCCCTTTCCCTTCCCTCTGCTTTCCCCCACACCTGGGAGCAGCGGGTGAGACCGCCCCCAGGGGTGCCTTGCATGGGGACCTGCTGGGGCACCACCAGGAAGGAGAAGGGAAACCCCAGTAGGATCTGCAAAAGCCTCCTAAAGCTGTGGACAGTTTACTTGATTTTAGAGAGGGCCTGGAAGCCTTTGTGTGATTTTTTTACTGGGGCAGGAGTATCCCTGGCAGGAAGGAGGAGTTGGGGTCGTGATGCTGCTCTTATCCCCATGGGGCTCTGCATGTTTCAGGGCTGTGAGGACATTGTGAGGGTGATTTCCATGGACCGTGATTATCACTTTGAGTGCTACCACTGTGAGGTGAGTGTTGGGGTCCAGGGCTGTTGGCTGTAATTGGAATTGGGAAGAAGGGAAGGAGTCAAGTCTTAGAAGAGCCGTTCATCTGTGGGACATGTAGGGCACAGAAAATCAGGGAACCCGCTAAGCAGGTGGTGTACACTTGTAATCCCAGCACTTGGGGCTGGGTCGGGGGCTGAGGCAGGAGGATCCCTGCAAGTTCAAGGCCAGCCTGAACTATATAATGAGACCCTGTCTCAAAAAAAAGAAAGGGAGATGCTGTGGTCTGTCTCCATTCTCTTTACTGTCCTATAGCCACTTTCTGGTCCTAGTTTGGTACTTTCTGAATCTGGCTGCCCCAGTCCTTGCTCTAAAATCATGGATTGCTGGTTGACTGCTGGAAGTGGGGGTTTGTCTCCTTATTTCTGCTGCAGCAGCGACACCTGGTGTCCAGTGAAGTATTTTCTCATCCATCCTCTCTACCAGCCAATACCTCTCCTAGCCACCCTTCTTCCAGTCCTGTGGAGTTGAGCAGGGCTGGCTCCCAAGAGGTCTTCAAGGAGCCTGGGCTGAACTGAACTAGGTGTCTTCTTCTCCAGGATTGCCGAATGCAGCTGAGTGATGAGGAAGGCTGCTGCTGTTTCCCTCTGGATGGGCACTTGCTGTGCCACGGCTGTCACATGCAGCGACTCAATGCCCAACAGCCTCCTGCCAAATATATCTGAGCTAGAGTCACTGCTGCCGCTGTCCTCACAGTTGACAAACCTCTCTGGCCAGTGGGCTCCTCTGAGACCAGCTGAGACCAGCCCTGCAGTGCTGGCAGAAGAGTCCTTTCGGTAGAGCTCCAAAGGGCCAGAGACCCAAAGATCCCAACATTCCAAATGGACTGTGGAGAAGGAAGCTGCTGGTGGCCTGGTGTGGTGACCGGCCCTGGCGTGTGCAGTGGGCAGGCTGCAGTACTTTTCTGAACATCAGATCCTGGTCTGTCTCTAGTGAATGTTTGTGCATACGTGATGTTCTGTCCCTGGGTGACAGGAGGAGAGGACGTCATGAGTACTCCATTCCCTTGTACCCCATGTGTGGTATCAGCCCTAAGGCCATCCAGGTATTCGCCACTGTGTCCTCTCTTCGTACCTAAATGAGAAAGAGGAAACCCTGACCTTTTTAAAGGATTCTGTTCCTCTCTAAGGATACGAAAGCTCCTCCTCCCTCTGCTGGGAATGAGGACCAGCTCTAGGTGAGCCTCTACCCATGTTGCCTGTTTCTCAGGGACTCACATAGGCCCGGGGAGGCTGAATGGGGCCTGTTCTGGTTTGCTCTCCTCAGCTGGGGAGATGGCGAAGTGGCCTGTGTGGGTGTGGGACTTGCTGGGTAGTGTGAGTAGGGCGTTTCAGGCCAGCTTACTCCCACATTTAGGTACACTGAGGCCCACTCCTAGTATGGGTCTACATGGGTGTGTAAGTGCGGGGGTGTGCACGTACACACTGTCACCCCCTTCCTCTCAGGTCCCTCTTACACTTGGTTCCCTAATAGTAGTTTACCACTCTAGACCAGCCACCTTTCAGTGGAATTCCAGATTATATCCACTGCAGCTCCCAAACTCAGGTTAGGGGCGCTAGGAGGAGCAAGACACTTTGCTTCCAGTCAGTTTGACTGAAACTTGAATTCACCTAAAGCTACGTTTCTTAAAAACCAATTCATTATAAACTTGTTTGCTTCAAGTTCAGTTCACTTAATGACCAATTTGACAAGAGCTCAGTTCCCTCTTTGGGTATTTTTATTTATATTCGTTTAGGTATTCTATTCCTTTCTGTCACGCTCTTGAGTATTTCAAGGATTTATATCACTTATCAGTAATACAGATTTATCAAATTTGCAGCACTTTGTAAATGTAAGATTCCTTCCAACCTTTATGTATGTCTTTTTTTTTCTGTTACCTACTTTTCAAACACTTTTTTAAAAGTTTAAAATTTCTAGCAATAAATACAATTGGTACAGACATTTTGCTTATAATGTTTTGTGTTTCTTAGTCCAGTATTGGGCTGGGGATTTAGCTCGGTGGCTTTGCCGCCTGCTTCATAAGCTCAAGGTTGCCAGTTTGATCCCCATACCAAAAAAAAAAAAAAAAAAAGAGTCTTAATCTTAATCCAGCATCCCTTTATAAATTAGATGCCTTGAGCCAGGTGTGGTGGTACATGCCTGTGATCTCAGCACTCAGGAGGCGGAGGCAAGAGGATTGCATGAGTTCAGGGCCAGCCTGGGTACATAGTGATACCCTGTCTCAAAAAAAAAAAGAACCTTGAAAAATGTAATAGATGCCAACATATCAGCCATGGCACATGCCTATAATCTCAGCATTCTGGGAGACTGAGGCAGGAGAATCACCAGTTTGAATCCAGCCTGAGCAATTTAGCAAAATCTTGTCTCAAAATAGAAAATACAAAAATAAAGGTGGGAGGGTTGGGGATGTAGCTCAATGCAAAGGCATATTCAAATCCTTGATAAAAAAAAAAACAAAAACCGAATAGGCTCAAAGCATATTCAGCTGATAACAAAGGTTAAATAGATAATAGCAATAAGTAAAAGGGTGACTGTGCCAAAGTCCTTTTAAAATGATGCAGCCAGGTGTGGTGCACACTGTAATCCCAGCACCGGGGAGGCTGAGGCAGAGAGATTGTCATGAGTTCAAGGCCAGCCTGAGCTACATGGTAAGACTGAAAAACAAAAACAAAAATTGCTGCAGATTTGATAAATATTTACTTTAGACTAGTTGGCTAAATTATTTGACTTTAGGCTATTTAAACTGGTAATTTTTTTTTTTTTTGGTACCAGGGATTGAACTCAGGACCTTGCCCTTGCAAGGCAGGCAGCAGAACCATTGAGTTAAATCCCTGGCCCTAAACTGGTAATCTTTAATCCCGAGTCTTCTCCATTACTCAGTGACTTTCCTAAGGAAATAACTCCCCAGAACATAGATTCCCCAGTTGGTGCTATTCTAAAATGACTATGCCAGGCATCCTAGGAATTACACAGAAGAGGCCTCCAAGTGAAGAAGAGTTCAGATTCGAACCGCTGAGTGCCAGAGGAAGGAAATGCACTTTTTTTTGGAGAGAGAGATATGTTCTGAACCTAGACTGCTTGTGCAGCTGAGATTGCTCCTTCTGAACTATTAAGTAAGGTAATGCAAAGACCCTAACTGGAAGATCGTTCTCGCTAGGCTGCTCCAGGCCTGGCAAAACCAGACAAGCTTGTGTAGCTTTCCATCCATCCCTTTGGTTCCATCTGTACTCTGGGGCTCTAGACCACTCTGTCATCTGACCTGTTTCTCACTCTGCTTCTGGCTTCCTTCTGTTCCTAATCTAACTGGGCTCACTCCCTTCTAGATCTGTGCTGGTCTGTCCCACTCTGCAGCTCTCCCAAGATGCTGCTGTTGCCAGGGGGACTATAATTTCATCTGAGGAAGAACGCGTGATAGTTCTGAAGAGCAGCCCCAGCCCCCTCCCAATGCCAGCAGCAGGCTCCGAACTGCTCCCTGCATCCCAGGAGCTTCCCTTTCTTCCTGTTTGCCAGAAGACTGCTTCTCTTTAATAGCTCTATTTAAAATTTACAGCCAGGGATTTAGCTCAGTGGTTCCCGCGCCTGCCTCCCAAGCACAAGGACCCGACTTCGATCCCCAGGACCAAAAAACAAAAACAAACTATTTAAAAAAACAATAGTAAATAAATAAATAAATAAATAAATATAAAATAAAATTTGCAGTCAGGCCGGGGATTTAGCTCAGTGGTTCCACAGCCTGTCTTGCAAGTGCAAGGACCCGAGTTCGATCCCCAGTACCAAAAAAAAAAAATTTAAAAAAATTTTGCATTTGCTGGTGAGAGACTCATTAGATGGTGCCAATGGTACAGAAATAGGTAAACATTGTTTGGCCAACCTGTCTCCCAGTTATCATCTGAGATGGAGAAAGGAAAGAAATAGGAGAATTAGGGTCCCTTCTGGGTCTCTAGACAGAGTCATGGGCTTGCTTTGTGTGTGTGTGTGAGATGGTCTTACTGTGTTACCCAGGCTGGTCTTGAATTCCTGGGAGATCTGCTATTTCAGCCTCCCAAGTGGTGAAGGGTCAGGCTTTGACAGCAGATTTCCGCTCTATGCTCTGGACAGCCCAGATTGCCACAGACCCAAATGTGGGTTAATAAAAATGAGGCTAAGATGATTCTCTTCTCTTACCCTTTTGAGACTTGGCTGTCTCTCCCTGCACCACCTGGATCTCTCATGGCCAGGTGAAATAGTAAGATTCCCTTTGTCATTAGGCTGACAATGGTCCTTAGTCCAGGAAAAGATGGAGAAAGAGCTATTTCCAAGCACATAAAGCCAGTTGGATGAGGTCCTTCAGACTGTGCCTGTACACAATAAAAAGGAGAAGGCCAGGGATTTAGCTCAGTGGCACCACTCCTGCCTGGCAAGCTCAAGGTCCTGTGTTCAATCCCTGGGACCCCACCCAAAAAGCAACAACAATAAACAAAAAACAACACAGTAAAAAGGAGAACAATAGGACTGAAATAAAAGGATTGGAAAACACAGATGAGCAAAAACATTTTTATTTAGTTTTGTGTTTTTTTGGTACCGGAGACCGGGGATCAAACTTGGGTCCTTGCGTTTGTGGGGCAGGCCACCGAACTGCTGAGCTAAATCCCCAGCCCTAGTTTTATATTTTAGAAGCACCCATACCTTAGGCCTGGCTTGGGGTCCAGAGCCTTTACCATGAGAATCTTCAGGGTCTGCCCAATTCCAGTCCTCTGTGATTTCCATCCTTGGCCTTACAGACTGGGCCTCTGCCATGCCAGTCATAGAGAGGCCTTGGGACATCCACACATGGCCCTGGACGTAAAGGACCAAGGCTTGGGCTGGGGTATACCTCAGTGGTAGAGCACTTGCCTAGCACCCATGAGGCCCTGGAGTTCAATCCCCAGCTCTGCAGACAAACAAACAAACTGAGGCTTGACCTTGAAAAATCAAAGCATTATTACTGAGATATATGGATTAGATCAGTCTAATGTGATGGTAGGATGGGCCCCGGGGCTAATTCTGTTGCCTGCAGATGTTTCACTGGCAGTTTTACTGGGAAGGGTAGTGCGGTGAAGGAAGACAAATGCTGTAGAAGCAGAGAGGGACAGGTCAGGAGAAATACCTGCTAAGAGTACTAGTTACAAGCGAGGTGTGGTGGCACATGCTAAGGCACTAAGGAGGCTGAGGCAGGAGAGTTGCTGTGCATTGGAAGCCAGCCTAGGATGAATTGTGAGTTCAAGGTCACCCTGAACTACATAGTGAGACCTTTCCTCAAAACAAAACAAAACAAAACAACAAAAAAAAACACCAAAACCACCCTCCTGCAAAAAACAAACAAAAAATTTAGAGGATTAGTGCAAATGAGTTATAATTTTAGAGACTTCAGCTAACTCATTATAATGATTGAAAAAAATAGAAGCTCTGAGTGATGATGACTTGCCCAAGGTCACGCAGTGGGCTCATAATGACTTTACAACTTTCGAAGACTGATGAAAGGCTATTTCCTCTCTTTCTCCCCATCTCCCATCACACAAGTAAACTGTAAAGGTTGACTGCCAATGAGATAAGCACTTCATTATAATGGAAAATAAGAGAAAACCAAAGAACCTGAAACACGCGGTTCTTACCAGTGCTTTTTTGCCAGTTAGTCCCAACTATAGCCAGGGTCCCTTTAGAAACGCATGTGGAGTAGCAAAGGAAATATACTGCAAGAGTGTTCCTGCCCTTCAGGAGGTCACAGTCTAGCCAGGGAGACAAATGCACACATAAAATGACTTGAGAAGATTACAAGCAACATGTCAACAAGCGCAAAGTAATTGATTGTTATAAATAAAAGACCTAATGCTGGAGGCTATGCTGTTGAGGAGTGAGACTTTGGCTTAGACTGTAGTTCACAAGGTGGCAGCCCACAAGGTAAACCCTGCCCCCAAATGTATTGAGTTTTATTATTATTGTTGTTGTTGTTGTTGTTGTTGTTCCTGATGCTGGAGATTGAACCCAAGGCCTCCACAACTGAGCTACACCTGCAGCGCTACTTTTTTATATTGCTAATTAGAACCCTAGTTGAGAAGCCAAATGCCAGCTAGTAAATGAAGAAGGAATGATAGAATTGGAAAAACAGCATTCTGTGAACTCTAATAAAATGATCGATTCTGGCAAAGATTATTAATTTGTGTTAAAAACAGGTGTCGGTCTCATGGCACATGCCTGTAATCCCAGCTACTCCGGAGACCAAGACAGGAGGATGGAAAGCTCGAGGCCAGCCTGGGCAATTTAGCCAGACCTTGTCTGAATAAAAAATAAAGGGAGCCAACTGGGAAAGGTGGTGCACATTTGTAATCCCAGCACTCTTGGAGGCTGAGCTATGAAGATTTCAAGTTCAAGCTCAGCCTGGGCAATTTAGTAACTTAGTGAGAACGTAAATAAAAATAAAAGGGCTGGGAGTGCCAGTGGCGGCGGCAGCGATTGTGGCAGCCCTTGAGGAGGAGAGTTCTGACTTTCCTGCTGGTCTGCAAGGGAGTGGGCTTGGAGGGGCGCGGTGTCCCAGAAAAAGCAGCTGGGAGATTTGGGTCTCCTGCAGGAGGAGGCTGGGTTTAGGGAGTTCCCTGCTAAAGACCAGGCTGGCTTGGAGGGGGACGAAGATGCACAGGGCTGGGAGGAGAATCCGGAGGGTGACCATGTGGAGCAGAACTAGAGAAGCGTGGTCACAGGACGGAGACTTCGCAGCATCCAGAAGCGTTGAAGTGCCCTAAATCCGAACTAAATCCCAGGACTGAGAACCAAAGATGGAATACTTTAAAAAACATGCATATTTCATTATTTGCTTGGATAGTTTTGTCTCTGTAACAAAATATAAATGTTTCGATTTAAGAAGGAA